TATATACGGTTGCAATGATATCGTATCTGCTTCGATGCCGTGTCGACAATGTGCATGCTTACTATTCGTCACAGTCTTTGGCGAACATTGCAACAGCCTGTCGCGCTGGCACTCGCGCGACGTTTCAGGGAACTAGATAAGAGAAGCTGCGTGACTATCGTCAAAGCGAATGGCTGTTGGGAGCGTATGATGCTGTAGTCGTCATTTCTGGGGTTGCACTCACCGGCCTTGGAGGGAGCCCGGTCTATCGTGATCGTGATGAAGAAATGCCAGGGGTCAGCCAGTAGACACGCGTCGGATAGCAGGCTCTTGTTCCGCCAATCATACTCGTGCCTTTGACGCATCTGAGGTGACCATCGCTGCGTTGTAACAATAGCCTCAACTCAAGCTAAGGTTGGACTCAAACCGGTGAATGCAAGTTCAATAATCTGCCGCACCGATCATGTGTCGGCATGTTGTCTCTTCTATGGCGGCGTGTGGTTCCTAGATATCGCAAACGACTTGAGCAATGCCTGCATACCAACCTTCCCGATCCAGCGGTGAGTACGCGGAACAGTCTCCCCCCTGACCCAGCAGGACGTTGACGGACCGGTCCCTGGACACGTAGTGTACGTCTCATATCTTCACGTTCCACGAACGCCCAGGTACTGATCGCATTCCCGATAAGCAGATGAAGCGACACATCCTTAGTGCGGTAGTCGTTCCGTCTACCAGGAAATGCCGCAGACGGCAATCAGAACTACTCTAAGTTTCACCGCTTCTTTTCTTTTGCGATCCAATCAGCACCTGGGTGCTCCGATATATCTTTGAAGACAGCGCCGTTGCGTCAGAAGGTCGCAAGTGTCAACACTGTTCCACAGCTAATGCTGTGGCCGACTCGTTGGGTTGTGGAATACGCATCAGGGAGTCCGCACTAAATTCGTGGAAACTAGACAACCACGTCTTCCCTCATCGAAAGATGACCGAGTCGTCACAGTCATGAGACTAGTCGGAGGAGAAAGAACCACCCTCTGCTCGGCTAGCCATGATAGCTCATATCATCACCGTCAAGAGCTCTGTACAACATAGGAATCGTTCCAATGTCAGGCCATATTTCGCACATGCCACCCGACAAAGCATGTCTCGGGTACGAGGTCCTTGGAACCTTTGTCCTGGTTCTTTGCGCGACGCCGGGTGAACGCAGGGCACAAAATGCACGCTTACGCAGTTGAAATCTGGTATGTTTGCAACCGAATCTGGGTGAGCGCATTGAAAACGTGCACATGACATGAAGAATCTGCTTTTGGATCGACACCGACGTAATGATGCCACAACGCGTTGACAGTACTTTTGTAAAACAAGCGCGTACAAGTCACCGCGGTGACTAAGCCTTGCAATATAGAGGGGGTATCGTAAGTGATGATGATCACACGAAATGTAGACTCGAGTTACTGATCCCTGACCCCCCGTTTATCTCTGGTCCGGCGTCACCGGTCCACGTTACGATGCTGCTATCCGCTAGCGAAGAGATCGATGGAGCGACTTGATGAAAAAGAAGAGGAAATGTAACGTTCGCGCCGCGAGAAGCTCTGAGGCGAAGTCAAAACCTGATGCTGCTGTGACCTGCAGCGTGGCGGCAACATGGCCGTGAACGTGGCTGTTGGAGCTCGGGAAAATTTACCGAACTAACGACAGCGCTTGCTAAAGCATCGATGCAGACGTGTAAGCCTCAAACGAACCCTGATGGCACGACTTGATGACAATGTACAACAAAGGAGAGAATACAGCGTTACCACAGCGCACATAAACCGAACACGCATCGACGGGCCGCATAAAAGCGAACTGCGAGAGGTCTTCCCGACATTTCGACAGTGCAGCAACAACAAAAGCATGTCTCAAACGGGGAAGGAGGCTTGATAGAGACTGCCGTTGATGTTGTTCCACAGGGGATGCGTGATGAACCTTCGATAATCGACGTCATAAGGTCACGCCTTCGCGTCGAAGAGAGTAACACAGGGACCTGTACTTCTGCAGGAAGGACCTCGATTCGAAGTGCCTCTCATGGGTGTCGCGAGGTCGTACGCGGTCCATGCGTTCTGTGCCTCGGAGAAGGCAGCTTTCTGGTTCCGTTTTCGGACTGCTGATCGATACCACATCATGCATCAGGCATGTTGCTGGGAAGAAAGCCTCGCGGAACGCTTGAGGGGACGTAGAGCTGTTGTGGTGATTGAGGCCACGCCCGAAGGCAGGAGGGAAGGAGGTTGGGGCGGAAGCGGGGCCCACTTATTAGGTAAGCATAGTGGATCTTAGCTCGTACAGCGTCATGGCCATCACCGCAGACAGAACTTCCACATCGCAACCGTATCAATATGGCTGGTACCTGTGATCTAAGCCATGCTGGAGAACTGCCTCGAAAATCATGTGTCGCCATTCCACGATGACCCAGCATCCCTTACAAAGCGCGAACCGCTCTAGCATACCCGACCCGCGATCGATCGGCTCGCAAACGCACCACTGTTCCTGACTACACGAACACTTCCTTGTTCTTCACATGTTTTCAACCTTTTTCCGCCTCTCCGTCCGTCGCGTCGACCTCGCGATGCTCTAGTCACGCGGACCACGGATGACCTTCCGGACCGAGCTTCGCGTTTAGAAATCCAAGCTTGAGCAGCTTCTGCTCGCTGATCTCCTGCTTATGCGCCTCCATCTCGTCGACATCCCCTGGAAAATATCAGCAGTCGTAGATAAAGAGTTGGAGTAGAATGAGATACGTACAGTTGACGCTGAGGAATGAGCCCTTCAGGTAGTCGGCCTTGGGCTGCGCAAGGTACAGCGATAAGCCGCCCGTCTGGATGCCCTTGTCGTGCGCAAACGGCGTGAGTTGGTCGACGACCATACCGCGCTTTGACTCGGTCGCAGCGACGATACCAGGGTGCACGGTGAAGACGCGAAGATTAGGCTTCTCGGCGTCCAGGTACTCGGCCAACTTGAGCAGCGCCATCTTGCTGCCTGAGTAGGCGCTCATGCCGGGAACTGTGAAGGACGAGCCAAGCGTGTTCAGCAGGATGAGGGTACCGAACTCAACGGCCTTGAGGTAGTAGTATGCGAGAATATACGAGCCCTTGACGTTCACCTCGTAGTCGCTGAACCAAGCGCTAGGTTCGAGGTCGCCGACAGGTCCGCCCACCATACTACCCGCGGCATGGACCACGACGTCAACGGTGCCAAAGGCATCGGTCGCCTTCTTGAACAGGTTCTGGACTTCGGCCTCGTTGGTCAAGTCGGCGGTGGCACTGAGGACCTTGGTCTCGGGGTTGAGGGACGCGATGGCGCTGGCAGGCTCTGCCAACAGATCTTTGTTACGGCCGACAAGCACGATGCCCTTGGCGCCGGCTATAGCCCAGGCACGAGCCACTTCCTATTCGTTGGCGTCAGCATCCATCTCGCGCGATCGACAACGGATCGTCTTACGCCTCCTAAACCGCCTGTAGCGCCCGTGACCAGGATGGTCTTGCCTTTGGCGCTGAGAGTGGGGTTCTTGGGGTCGATGGCCGGGTACACATCGCGCTTGAGCGACTTGGTGAGCTGGAACGGGGTCGTGAAGGCGTTGGCGTCCATGGTGAGGACGGAAAGGTTGCGTTCGAGCAACAGCGGCAGAGAAAGTGGTAAGAGGAAAAGCTATTTGAGTGATTGAAAAGTGTAAAGCGTAGGGATTTGGACTGTTGTTGTTGCGATTATGTGTGCAGCAGCGACCATCGACAGCCTCAAGTATTTGCGGCGTCAGCCTTGTGCAATGCACCACCAGGCACAGTCGAGCAACGTGCATACTGTATTATCTCAGCTGTGATGCGATCCAGGGACTGATTTACAAGCAGCAGACGCGCAGCGAAGACCGACACCGAATTGTATTTCAAAGCATGACTCGGGTCCCGCGCTAGAACCCCCCTAGTTGACGCGTGATCATTTGCTTTCTAAGTTTGCGAAGCCGCCAGTATGTTACTGACTGCACGAGCATTTCTTTAGTATACTGACGCGTCGTCAGACTTCATTCGCTCTCTAGTACCGTTCAAATCGCTTTGCGAAACTTTACAGTATTGCCCTAGGTGCGCGTCCAGCCCCGTCTACATTCCTTCACGGTCACCTTTCCGCCTTCATTCACATGTTGGGACGAGTACCATCGCAAAGCATGCATTCTACATGGCCACTGGAAATCGACTCTTCGCGCGGATAGCTGGCCCGAATTTGAAGAATACAAATGGGATCGGTACCATAACCAGACACAGGAAGCCCAGAAGAGACGTCGCCCAGCCGATCCCGAGAGCATCATACACTGAGTTAGATGTTAGCTTGTCCAAGGCTCCAGACATTGCTATCGGCTGGTTCCACATTTGATGACGTACTCTGCACGGTAAAGAGGGGAAAGACAGCCCCAAGCGTGTACCTGACGATTCCATTCGCCGCTATAGCTGACGCGCCGTTCATCGCACCGTATACATCCGCAAGATAGAGCGCAGAAGAGGTCTAGAGATCAGGCTGTTAGTGCTAATTGAACATGAACTCGACCTTCGCAACTTACGAAAACACAGATATTGCCCCATGCAAAAGGTATAACTCCCACCACAGTGGGAGCCCAATGAACGCCCTTATCAGCACACCAGCCAAACCAGAAGAGACCAATGACCATACCCCAACTACCAAGCATTGCGCTATATAATCGATGTTCCGGGTCAGCGTTCGGGTTGCCTTTCAAGGTGGCCTGCTGATGTTTTTTCATGTAGATCATGCGGTCTACGACAATGGTAGTCATACCTCCAACAAACACGCCAATACTGATGGGAATAAATGTGAGCCCAGACTGAGACGGCGTAAAGGAGTATGGCGGACGTGAGAAGACGTAAGGGAAAGCTGCAAAGAAGAGAAACAGCACCGCAAATGCGAAACCTGTGTAGAGCGAGACGAAGAACACTACAGGCTGTGCATATTTAGCTCAAGCATGGACAAAGATGCACGGGGGCTTGCAATCATACCTCTGTTGAGAGCATGTGAAGGGGCCGAATGAACCTCAGAACGATCTCGCTCTTGATATCTCCATTTTCTTGTTTCTTTTGCACTCCGTTCTCCTTCATTCGCCTCTTCAAGATGATAGGCTTGTAAGTCTCATCCATTGGTATAGATGTGGCATACACAGCCACCGCAAGGAAAAGAATGGACCATTGCGTCCACGGCCAAGTCTTGTACTGCGCCACGAACCCTCCAACCACGGGTCTGTTATCACGTCAACATCTAGTAGAGCAATAGACTCTGGACGATACATACCCAATGGACGGCCCAGCGAAAGGAGCCATCAAGTAGAAACTCGTGGCCAAGGCGCGCTTATGCGGTGGGAACAAATCGGCATTCGTTCCAGCACCAACAGCAAGTGCTGGACTTCCAAACAATCCTGCGAAGAATCGACACACGACCAGGCCCGCGTATGTTTTCGAGAAGCCTGCGCCGAGAGTAAACAGCATGAATATAGGGAAGAACACCAGATAGACAGCTTTTCGGCCTTTTCTTTCGCTAAGTGGTGCAGTGACTATTGGACCAAACGCGAGTCCGAGCGTGTAAAGCGTTATGCCGATGAGCGCAGCCGTGCGCGATACGTCGAAGTCACGCATGACGTCTGCGAGCGCGGGTGTATACACTGATGTTCCAAAGGTGCTGAGCCGTCAGTACTTGCTGGTGTTACGCGCTATCTTGCGACTTACACAGTGAATCCAAAGAGGGCTGGTATCATCGTATGATAAGCCAACTTCCATGAAGACCAGTTGTGCGGGTTCTCAGGGTCGTCCGGACCATCCCAGTTCATCGGGTCGACGGGGCTGGTGAACGATCCATCCTCGCTAGCCGGCCGTTCACTACAGCGTCGTTCATCCTCGAATTTGGCGGGTTGGCATGGAGATTGATGTTCAGGGTCGGGCTTTTCTCCGTTGTTTCCAGCAATGACAGTCTCGGTCTCATGGATCAATGTCGCATGTCCATTCTGGCAATCGTGGTTCATGCTAGGAGTACGATGAGTTAAGTCAGGCTGCTGTGTAAGGCACCAGGGATATCCTCCACTATACTTCACAACGAGAGGATATGTGCTGTATATACCCGGCGCTTGTCCTGCTCCCCGCACGCGTTCAGACTTACGGCCGAGAGCAAGCGCGGCGCACTACCAAGTCCTGCCATATTGAGTTACTCGCATCCTCTACGAAACTGCCATGAAGTGAAGAAGAGCTGAGCTGTAAAGGAGTGCGCGGTTCTGATTGGCTGATTGTGAGGCGACCCGAGGCTCGGTGTTGGGTTTACTGATCACAGACCACACATTAAACGGTGGCTTCCAAGGTTGCTCACGTGACGAGGCGCATCGAGACCTCGAAAAGGAATGGCATCGCGTAGTACATGTCTGAGCCTGGTAGCTTCGGGGCCGGGCCAATGTTTACGAAAGCGAGGTGGTATGTTTCCAAGGTTGCGTCTAGAGGAGGGAAGGAGAAGAAAACCGCGATGACGTTATCTACCTAGTTAGCTTGGCAAAATGCCGACCAGCTTCGACATGAACACTCATTCATCTCGAGCCGAGCACTTCTTGGACATATTCGTCGCGTTTAGATATCTTGATCTCGTTTAAGATCTTCTATTGCTGCTTAGTGCAAACACCTGGCAAGCGCGGTCGCGCACACAACGACATCCGTTGTTGTGGGAAGGGGCTGGAGCCGCCGCGTTCGCGACAACCTGACCGCGACCGTTATCAGCTCTTCTTCGCGTCGGCTGGGGCTCGACAAAACAAGAAGGAATGCACCCTAGCGGGTTGTAAGGAACTCGAATAGCTCGCGACACGTTTTCTTCTTCACAGACGTCGCGTTCCAGCTATGAGGACGCCTCCAGCTGTCGCGGCCTTCTTATGGTTCGGCCACCGACTGTCACGCTGTGATATTGCAACTTGATCCAGGATGATAGGACAGAAACGGCGTAGTCATATCAGCCTCACGATGCTAACATGAAATAGTATCGTAGGGGTCATCGGCTGCAAACTCGCCTGTGGTGGTGTCGCGTTTCGGTACCACTGAAAGCCAGGTCCGCACACACATCGCCATGGATCATACAGGCCCCCATTGCGACAACAACTATACCGACCTGGTGCAATCAGTAATTCCTATGGACGACAACAATAAATCCGAGCTAATCCATATAAGTCAATGAAAGAGTTGTGAACGCACGTACGTTTCCCCTTCAATCCATGGTTGAGTGTTCTTCAATACTAGGCACCCATTCCGCACGGAACGCTCCACCAGATCTCATAACTGTGTCAACCCTGACTATACGCCCACATCCTTTCACATCACGCAGTGAATTCCTCTAATTATCAGTATCCTCCAGTAACTCCTACCTACAGCGAACGTGATGGGTTCAAAGCGCAAACATCAAGCCGAGAAGGACTGCGCGCCTTCGCAGTTGCCCAGAAAGCGCAGTCGTCGCGACGTTCAGGAGACACGTGCAGTTTCCCAGAATGAAAGCGGTCAAGATAGGGGTGCCAGGCGCAGTCGTGGTGATGACATACCACTTCCTTACCCAAAGCGCGGGCATAAGAAGCCCACGAATATTGCTGCGGAGCTTGCAAACCTTGCCGACTACAACGCGCCTCCCGAAAAGCGATCGCGGAAGGATGCCGTAGCTCAACTTACCGACGATGAAATGCCCAGAGCCAGGTCCAGCCGCAATCGTGTCCGTGATTTACGAACTTCAGGGTATGCCGCTCAGTCTGCCAATTTGAGCGAAAAGCTTCGTGTACAGGGTGCGCGCATCACCAAATCAACAACCACAGGCACCCACCGACGAAAGACAAGCTTCGAGGAGAAAGTCAGGGCAGAGGCTGATAGATTGGGTCCTTGGCTTGGTTGGGTATCAGAGGAAGAGACAGACGATGAGAGCGACGAGGAAGCCCAATACGTGCCGCGCTCACATTCTCGTCGGTATCCACCAAAGAAGCCAGGTACTCAGAATGCACCCTGGGGTGATCTACCGGGTGAAGTCCGCAATTTGATATATCAATACGCCATGACCGACGAAGAGAAGAAGATTTTGAACGTTCGCCACTACCCCGAAGGCGTACCTCGGCGCTCTGTTCGCGGCATAGCTTGTCCAACCAACTTTGCGCATTCATATTGGGGCTTCACTCAAACTTGCCGCCAGATTCGGAATGAGTTTACCCCTTGGCTTTTAGAGAAGCGTCGAGTCCGTACCGCGCTTGAGACCATCAACGACTACGTCAACATCTTCCATCGACCAGATAAAGACGGTGAGGTGGTAGGGTGGGTGGAGCCCATCTGCTGCGGCGCACCACTCCCTCAACATGGTGTTGATATTCTCTCCTTGTTGAAGCTTCGGGAAACCAGTTCAAGATTTCATCTCCAGCTGACTCCAACAACTATAAGCGAAGCTCTAGACGCCTTGATCATGCCCACCGATCCGGATGACTTCGACGAGCTGAAGATCATGCGGGATATGGCAAGAACGTTTCGCACCTGGTCACAGGGTAATGTTATCAGCTTGATAGGCCTGGATGGCATCAACATCACCTCGGTACCCAAAGGATTGAACACTATCACCAGTACCACTGAAGACGAAGATGATGCGCAGCATGAGATTCTGATCAAGTTCATCATGAGACCAGGCCAAACGGAAAAAGCTCCTGATAAATACCGCCTACATTGTCTTAACAAGATTATCTTCGCCTCTGAGCTCTCGAAAAGGACCGGTGTGAAGCTGAAGGCTTGTTTCGACACTGGCGTCGCGAAGTGGAAGGTTCGGCGCATTGGGGTTGTCGACACGTGCTGGACAGCACGAGCTGGTGGCAGCAAGATTTCCCGTCGTTTGATGAAGTACTGTTATTCTCCTGGCTACAAAGGAGAAAGCTTGGACTGAGCTTGAGATAACGCCTGCCATCACTTTTTCGGACACCTACGAGAGGAGCTTGAGGAAGTTCACAGCAAAATTTTCTCGGCTTTTGAAGAATGCAAACAATTCTGCAACGTCCAACGAATCATTTGTGCGTCGTTTATTGACTACAGCGATATCACAAAAGAACTATCACAGCTCATGGGATACGTGAGGCGCTACTGTTGAGTTCCTCAACGCATCAAGCTTGCTCATACATCATGCGCGTGCTGTCCGCATAGCTGTCGGTGCAACAGCGCATCCTTGACGCGTCCCACACGCGACAGCTTATACATCGAACAACGTATAGACGCTGCTTCGCTCGGGTTATTTTCCATCATATCATATATACATATAAATTTATGCATTACATCCGCCCATAGTCTTCTTCATCTAACCATCGTTAACGTATCAAACTCAACCAAGCATGTTTCCCAACCAGCCACCTCAGCCCCCAAGAAACGGCCAAGACCAAGCTCAGCAGCCCGGACAACCCGTCTTCCAAGTCATAGTAACACCAACAGGGCAGCGTGTGTTAGTACCTTACCCTCTCCCAGATCAAGTATGTATACCGCAAGGACCAATGCCAGGACCAGCACCAGCAGCGACACAAGCCCAGCCGTGGTGGATGCCCGCGCCGCCCATGCCTGTTCAGAGTGACCACGGCGCACACCCTCAAGAGCCGCCTGAACAGCCGCCCCAACCACAACCGCTTCTCGTGGCACCATTACCCGACCCTACACAAGATCCTAATAATCCTGCCACCCTGCCAAGTGACTACTTCACTTATCGCGACGCGGGATGGAGTGATGAGGCGTTGGCGGAGCTGCAGAGGAAGCATAGGGAAGCAAGAAGAAAGAAGTAAGTACACGGCGCAAACGAGATCAGAGGTGATACACCACGGGCTAGGTTTTGCAATACATGAAGTGTGATATATAGCGAGTGTATTTAGGTAGAGCTTGAGGCTGCTTCGGTAGTTGGGGGGCCGCATCGCGCAGATCCATCAATGATATATGTAAGACGCTCAAATGAACTAAATATGGGTTTTTTGCACCCGAAACATGGGACTAGGAGAGCTAGTCATGAGTCAAATGACTGAATCGCTTGCGCTATGTGCGTCGGATGATTGAGCATAAATGAGCGGGCCATTAGTTGCACACATGTGAGCTGTTACCCTATGCTCAGTCGCTCGATGTGACTTCGAGCTCCTTAAGCTCAGTCGTCCTTTCTCGACGCAACTTCGTCCTCTTGATACCGAACGAGATCAAAAGTCCAATGGCACCCACAATCGTCATGAGAATCCAGGTCCCTCTCAGCGCGCTCATGAAGCTATAGCGGACTATACTCTTCTGGAACTCAGTGAGGCCAGTGATAGCGGCGCTTTGAGATATCGCTTCGCCCCCAGTGAGGTTAAGAGCAACATCTTCTACGATGCCACTGTCGACAATCTTCTCGTAGTGTGGCGCCATGAGGAGTTGGAATACCACTTGGCCGATAACTAGACCGATGGCACCAAATATTGCACGTACAAATCCAAAAGCCGCAGTACCGGCCGCGATATCCGCCTCTTGTATGCGCGTTTGTAGAGCAATGAGCGGCGCGCCAAAGTTGGGCCCGAAACCCAGGCCGATAATGACCATGAATGCGACGATAGTTCCAAGACTTGGCGCGGTGCCGAGCGAGATGAGAAGGCCGACAC